TTCTTCGTTATTTTTTGTCTGCTGTATTAGTATGAGTTTCAAGAAGACAAGTTCCTTGTCTTTTTCTTGTTTCTGCATGCCTGGGAAAATGTGTACACACACACACACACACACACACACACACACACACACATACACACATACACACACACATACACACAGTCATGCATTGCTTAACCATGGAGACACGTCCTGATAAATGCATTTTGTGTTGACATCATTGAATATGAGGTCACAGACTTGGAATGACCTTGTGATACAATCAAGAGATGTGGGAAACACAAGATGTATGAGATTGCTTTTGGTGCAATACAGCATACTGTTTTATAGTAAATTTTTGTATTTTAATAGTAGAAGGAGGGTACTCTGAACATAACAATGAAAAGTATAGACTAGTAAATATGTGAGCTAATAACATAGTCATTTATTATTAGTAGAAGTAGGCTATGCTTTTTCACTAGTCAGTGAAAATACTTCAGGTCTATTATAATCTTAAGGGACCAATGTCATATAGACAACTGTTATGTGGTATGTGATTATGTGTGTGTGTTGAATGTGTTTCCTTTAGTATTGAAAGAGTGGGCCCTCATGACTAACCTAGTTATATAGTCCAGTTTATATTATTCCCTGATTGTTTTATTTTGTCTCCAGTGAGGTCTTAAGCTACTTTGGGATGTAAGCTCTTATATATTTTCTATTTATTCTCTGTATCTAATAGGTGCTTGGCAAATCATTTAGCTGACTTGACGTTCAAGGCATACTTTCAGCCTTTTGAAAATGCATCATTGCAGGTCATTACCATGTTATTCTGCAGAATGTTCATTAATGTAGACAAAAGTGGGATGGTCTGAGCTTTCATGTGTTTTGTGTTCTCAAAAAAATTTATGCTGTCATTCTCAGTCTTCTGAGAGGGAATGTGAAGATGCTTAAAGAGCGTCCAGGGATGGCGGAAGATCCTCAGCAGCAAATGGGTATTCCTGTGGTGAAAATGGAGAAAGAGTTGCCATGGGGCAGGGCAAGAGAAGACTCCAGTCCTGAGACTTTTCGCCTGAGGTTTCGGCAGTTCCGCTATCAGGAGGCAGCGGGTCCCCAAGAAGCCCTCAGGGAGCTCCAAGAGCTCTGTCGTGGGTGGCTGAGGCCTGAGCTGCACACCAAGGAGCAGATCCTGGAGCTTCTGGTGCTGGAGCAGTTCCTGACCATCCTGCCTAGGGAGTTTTATACCTGGATCCGAGATCACGGCCTGGAGAGTGGCAAGGCTTTGGTGACCATGGTGGAGGACTTGACAGAGAATGCGCTGGAGGCCAAGGCGGTGGGTGAGAAGAGGGTATCCAGGTCTTTTGCTGTTGCCATGGGAAGGGGTTCTAAAGAATTGAGAGGTTTGAGGAAGCAGTGGAGTGGATGAGGTGTAGAACCACCCCTCTGCTCCTAGACTGCTGAGGAACTTTTTGGAGAGTGGTGGGTTTTTCAGCTGGAAGAGCTGTTCCCAGGGAAGATGCTGGTGTGCAGATGGTCCTGATGCTCCTCTTCAGGCCTTAGAGCAGAGGTCTGGCCCTGATTCCTTTGTGAGTTTCAGGCCTTAAGAAAGCAATTGTGATTGTTTTTAGGTCCCCAGCCCTGCCTTGGGGGAGATACCTGTGGGTACAGGGAACCCACTGGTTGCCCATATCTGTACTGTTTCCATGTTGGCCACTTCAGCTCTTGGGGCTCCTGTGTGATTTTGTGGTGCTGTTCTGATGATATCAGCTGACGGCACCATAAATGTTGCCTGGGACTCTGGCCATGTTGCTCTCATTGTGTGGCACAGTCACCTGATTGATGGCTGGGAAAAGAGGGCAAGGGACAATCAGCCTTCCTCCCACACAGGAGCTTAAAAGAGGACCAGGAAGGACTTTGTTTTTGTGAGTGCGTCTCAGTGTGAGTCCTCCTGGTTGTCCTTGCTCTTTGTAGAACTGCTGTTTTCATTAGCTAATTTATTACAGTGTCTGGGCTTTGCAATTAAAAAATTTTTGCTTTTACAACTGGGAAGTTTATTTTCTAATAGTGTGTTGTGCTTAGGTTCTCAGCAGGACAGCATTTGGGCTCTTGGAAATAGTATTCATGGGAAATTTGATCAGTGTCAAGGCAGTTAACAACTTAAGCTTGTCAAATAGCATGGGCAGAGACAGTTGCTCAGGGCCTGATAAAGGGAGTGTCACTTCCTTTCCACCTCCTGTCTGATGTTGGAGGAGGAGCTCAGCTGGCTTTTCCTTTGTCTTTCTTGAAGCCACAGTGGTTCTCCTTTTAGGTTTTAATTCAACTCCCATCATAACAGTCTTGACTAAGCCTCATTTTAATTGATGTTGGGAATTTTTCTTAGGTTCCATGCCACATGCAGGGAGAACAGCAGAAGACAGCCCTTGGCAGAGGTGCTTGGGAGCCAGGCGTCCACCTGGAGCCAGTGGAGGTCAAGCCTGAGTGGGGGATGCCCCACGGGGAAGGAATTCAAGTCCTAGACCAAAGAACGGAAGAGCAGCTAAGTCAGGACCCTGGAGATGGGACACAGGCCTTCCAAGAACAGGGTAAGATGCAGATAGCGAAGATGGAAGGGCACAGGGAACTGCTCTGTACCAACTGTCACCACCCTGTCCTTCAAAAAACCCAGCAGTAGTATGTGCAAGGTGTAATTCTGAATGTTCCCGGTTATTTCCTTGACCTCAGTAGGAAACTGAGATGAAATCGTGTTCTCTGCCTTGACCCTGGTTTCGGGAAGGCATGTCTAGAATCATGTTCTTTTATTGTTTCTACTTCCTCATATGCCTTCTAGAAACTACCAGGAACTGTGCAATGGATGTGGGAATGTTTATTAAGTGGGAAGACAAACCATACCCCTCAAAGTAATAAGTGACTTTTTTTTGTTACTGAATCTCAAAGAAGTTATTCCTGAGTGTGGCCAGGGAGCATGACAGAGTTGGGACAGTCTTCACTGCTGAAGACAGGGTAGGGGACACTCAGATACCCCTGTGTGGGTCATTGTGGCACCAAGGCACTTTTCTCTGGAGTTTGCAGGTTTCTGAGGTTGTGTGACTTGGATGGGGGACATCTTTGAATGGGATGATTGTCAACAATGTTGATCTTTCTCCTGCTTTTTGTCTCTACTCAGCACTCCCTCTTCTTCAGATGGGTCCAGGCCTCCCTCCAATGAACACCAGAGACCAAGAGATGGCAGCTGGGTTTCTTTCAGCAGGAGCACAGGTGAACCATGCCTCTGCCCTTTTGGAGATCCTGATGCTACTTTGACTAATGTACATTTTCCCCAAAGCTCCACTATGCAAAGCGCCATCCAGAGAGTGGAGTCGCTTGGCCTTTCTACCTCTGCTAATACAGCTGTGTCGTTTTCTCCATTCTGCCACCATCCCCAGTTGTTAATTTGCACTGACTCTTATACCTGGACCTTAAGCCACTGATTGATGTGTTGGTATTTCTCTTACCATGAGGAGGAAGACATTGAGAGAATCCCTGTTGGTGTGTGTCTGCTACTGTGGTTACCCCAGAGATAGATGTCCTTTGTGGGTGCTTCTGCTGCTGCTGCTCTGGAGATGTCCCAGGGATGGCAGCTGGCTCAGGCTGGGGCTCCTGGAGCCCTGAGCAGTGTCTCTTGGTCTATATTTGCCATCCCAGGAGTGGAGGCCCTGTTAATACTTGCAAACCTGCTGCACAGGGTAATGAGAGCACAGATGGGAGGCTCTCGCCCCAGTTGGAATCCCTTCCACAGGGTGCTAAGTGTGACCAGGGATGTGGGATTTCCCATGGGACACTTTTCTGAAGGATGTGAGTCTTAAGTTAAGGACTTTCTTGAAGAAGTAAAATAATTATTTGACAGAACAAAAAAAAGAAGCAAGTCATATCTTACCTATGGCTAAAGCCATATTTGGGCATCGAGGCTGGGCTATTTCCCGTTCCTGAGGTTTGCAGGGTCGAGGAGCGACAGTGTTTTTTCCAGTTGGTTAGACCAATCCCTTCTGCCATAGAGTTTCTTCCTGGTGTAGTGAATGAGAAAATGAGGACCCAATTCTTTTAATGTGGTGTCATTCTTAAGATGGGGCTTGAGAGGGTGTGGGGCAACTCCAAGGCTCTGTGATGCCTGATGATGCAGGTGACCAAGTGGCATGGCAGCTGGAGTTGTGGGGACAAGCTGAGCTGCTGAAGCAGAGACTCAAGTCAATTACTCTTTCACTGAATTGTCAGGAGGTAGTTGGTTCATTTCCCAGGGCACTGAGAGGCTGGTTTCCTTCTGTTGTCTTACTCTGCTCAGCCCTGTGCTGTTCCCTCTGATCACTGTGGCCATTAGATGGTTCTTCTTTAGGGACTGTCTCTTTATTTATAGCAATCTGTTGTTTCAGGGATTGGGGACCTTTAAAGACATGGCCCTGCCTTTTCCTGAGGAGGAGTGGAGGCATGTGACCCCAGCCCAGATTGACTGCTTTGGGGAATATGTGGAACCACAGGAATGTGGGGTCTCTTCAGGTAAGGCTCTGTCTCCACCCCAAAGGTGAGAAGCTGAGGGGTTTTGAAAGCTCCAGGTCAGGGATCTTACCCTAACCTGGTGCTGCTGACAAAGGAAGTGGATTTCATGGCAGGTGAGGAGGGAACATGGGCCAGCTGTAGGGAGCATTCCTGTGTCAAGAGGAGGCAGACAATGGAGCAGGAAAACACGAGGCAGCTCTTCTGGCTCCAATGAGACAGGTCAGTCATTAGCATCCCTAGACATCTGTGTGTGTCTCTAGCTGCCTTCAGAGCAAGAGGGAAAACAGCCAAAAAGGAGCACCTGGTCTTATTCATTCAGCAAGTGTTTATTGAGCACTCCCTGAGTGCAGGCCTCACATAGTAGCTTTGTGTTGGGGCAGGAAGTGGCCTGGACTAATATACAGGAAAGAGTTGGAGCATTCTGTGTGTGTGTGTGTGTGTGTGTGTGTGTGTGTGCATGCGCGTGCATGCGTGCACACGTGCGGTAAGGATTTAGAAATGGGACAGGTAAGTGTGTGCTTGTGTCACAGAGGAAGCAGACTCTCGATGGGCCTGCCTCAGGTGGTGGCTGGGTTTGACCTATGATTGTACTGATAGGACCCCCTAGGGGAGGAGGGAGCAGGAGTGAGGCCAGGGCTGGCAGTGCAGGGTGAGGGCCTGTGGGGAAGCCAGCAGAGTGCACTACAGGGCATGGGGACCAGGGACCAAGGAGCAGTGGGGAGAATCTCTGTGGGTTGAATGAGAACAGTGGGGAGAAGAAGAAAACGTGGCTGGGAACAAGCCTCCCCTGCTCCCTGCTAACTCTTTTCTTTTTCCTTTCAAAACCTTGTATTTTATGTGTTGACCCTTCATCTGTACAGACTCCATCTGACCTTTCTCACCTTGAAATACATGGAAGGATGAGCAAGAGGGTCATGTGCTTCCTTCAGGATGCAAGAGGCTCCATCCTGACTCCCTCCCTTCCTAACCATGAGCATCTCATTTGACCTTTTCAGGTCTCAGTTTTTTCAGTCATGAAATGATTCACATGGCCTCATGGCATTGTAAGGACAAAATGTGTGGCAAACATGGTGCTAGCACATATTTTTTTTTTTTTTTGTGGTGCTGGGGGTCGACCCAGGGCCTTGTGCATGAAAGGCAAGCACTCTACCAACTGAGCTATATCCTCAGCCCACATGTTTTTATTAGTTGTGCAAATATTGTTTTTTGGGAGAGGGTTTTGCCCAACTTTGATTTTTTTCCACAGTTTTTATTCATGCATTATAGTTGTACATAATGATGGGTTTGTTGTTTGTGTTTGTACATGCACACATAGAACAATGTAATTTGGCCAGGATCATTCCCTGGCACTTCCCTCCCTCCCCGCCTTCTACCTCTGGGTCCCTTTCTTCCACTGATCTCCCTTGGATTTTCATGAAAGATCCCCCGCCTTTTCATTTTTTCTCTCTAGCTTCCACAAAGGAGAGAAAACATTTGACTCTAGACCTGAATTTGACTTATTTTGCCTAACATAATGATCTGTAGTTCCATTCATTTTCCTGCAAATGATATAATTTCATTTTTCTTTATGGTTGAATAAAACTCCCTGTGCATGTATACCACATTTTCTTTATCCATTCATCTATTGATGGACATCTGGTTCCATAGTTTGGCTGTTGTGAATTGTGCTGTTATAAACATGGGTATGCCTTATCACTATAGTGTGATCACTTTAATTCTTTAGGATAAATACTGAGGAGTTGTATAGCTGGGTCATATACTGTTTTCATTTCTAGTCTTTTGAGGAACCTTCATATTGATTTTAATAGTGGTTGTATTGTAATCCCACCAACAGTGTAAAAGTTGTTTTTCTTTTTCTCCACATTCCCCAGCATTTATTTTTGTATTCTTGATGACTGCCATCCTGATTGGTGTGAGATGAAATCTCAGTGCACTTTTGATTTACATTTCCCTAATTACAAATGATATTGAACATTTTTGCTAAAATTTGTTGGTCGTACTTGTACAAATATTATTAACTGATTCTTTTATAAGTCAGCATTCATTCATTTATTTACCCACAGAGATTTATTTGTCACTTACTATATGGCCAGTGCTTTACCATTCATTATAGAGTTAAAATGCTTTCCTTTAGGGTCTTACAGTTCTGGTGAAGAGACCAGGTGCATGTGATAATGGTCATTTTAGAATAGGGTGGAGCACTAGGTAGGGGAATTGGGGACCTGTGTCCAGGGCAAGGTGATGTGGGTGTGTTTTACATAGAGGTTTGTAAGATGCTGGTGTGTTTTACATAGAGGTTTGTAATTGCCACAGGGTAAAAGACGTGCAAACTTTGGAGATAAATACACAAGGCAGGGACTCCTGTGATGTGCCCTGGATAGAAGTCCCAGCTTCTAATCCAGAGATTACAGAGCCCTAATCCCCATTAGCTGTGTGCCTCTGCAGTGATGCCTTCCCATCCTCAAGAGTGCTTACCCCCTCCTGGCTGTTTCTGACTTCTAGAGACCCTGGTGCATGTTTGTCCTCTCACCAGCCCCGTGTCTCCAAACAGCCTGGATACACATCCCTAAGTGTTTCTGCTAGGTGGCATGGTGTGCCTCTGTTTGGGTACATCACAGGAGCCCCTGCTTTGGACAGTTTTCTCTGTTTTCCAAGTGTACCATCTGCTATGAATTCCAGCCTTCAGGTCTACCTTGGATTCAATCCCATGTCATCCCAGAACTTGCAAAGAAAGCAGTGTGGGACAGGACCAAGCTGCTTAATTTATAAGGAGGAGATGAGTTTGGGGAGACCGCTGGGCCAGGTGGGTTCTCAGCTCCCTTTCAGGCCTTGGTCTGTTGTCATTAGAGAGTGACTAACTGCCAGCCTTATGGTCTGGATCATAAATGCAGTTATGGGAACAAACAGATGGAGATTAGGCTGGTGCAGGAATTTGGAAGCTGATTTGGAATAATGGATGCAGAGATTAGCATATGCACACACTGAGTCCAGGAGACTTGTTTGCAAGATGGTTAAGACCCTGGGGTGAAAGATGAGTGTTCAGAAGAGAAAGAAAGAGGGGTTGTGTAAATAGGGTGAGACTAGCTGAGGGCTGTGGGCTCTGGTAGAAGTTTGCCATGTTGAGTAATGTGATGAAAGTGTTATTGCAGTTGACCTCTAGGGTGAAGGAGATACAGGCATAGGGCCAGAGCAGGAACCAGACTTGGCAGTGGTGAAGAAGGTGGTTTACCAAGGCGTGTTTCCAAGGATTGGTCACCTATTAGCTAGAGAAGAGGAGAGAGTAGAGTCAAGGAGGAGGCTGAGATCCTGGCTATTAGACTGGAAAACTGGTGCTACTGTGAGAAAGGAAGGGAAGTGCTTTCCTAAGGGGGAAGAGAATGGAGGGTTCCATCTTGAGTTTGAGATCCATGGGGAGATTCTCTGGAAGTAGCTGGAAATCAGTGCCTGGTCTAAGGGCTAAAATCATACCACCTACCATTGCATACCTGCTATATATATATATACACACACACATACACACAGGAACCTTTATCAGTGTACTATCCATTTTGAAGATGAAGAAAGTAAGGCTCAGGGAGATTAATTGATTTTTCCATAATCCCATAGCTATTAAGTAGCCAGTGCCACATTCAAAACCAGTTCTCTGACTCCATTCTCTTTGTACTAATGCGTCTTTGTCTTAGTGTTTTCATTTCTGCCTAGATATTTTATTTATTTCCCTCCAGCTTTATATTGCTGTAAAAACTTTCAAACCTACAAAAAAAGCCCACAAAAATCACTAAGACTAGTGTACCGTTATAGTGAACACACTTATACCTTTGTCTTTTTCAATAATTGTTAACATTTGCCATATTTATCTATAAAATGTATTTTCAGAACAATTTTGAAAATGGAGCCATCTTGATCTTTCACCCCTAAATACTTCAACATGCGACTCCTAACAAGGACATGTGACCTTCATGACCTCATGGTGTGGAGCTGTAATTAATTTGTTTTTTCATGGAGAGGATCCACACAGGAGAAAAGGTTCATTTGGGTAGTTTCCAGTTTTGAAGTGTTAGGAGTAGGAAAACTGAAACTAAGTACCACGTATGAACTTTAACTAGCCCCTGGGGAAATCTGCACATGAACTCAATATTATGTACGTGGAACTTATATTTATTTTCTTAGGTGGAGTTATGATCCTAAGTATATGTAGTCCTGGTAGCTGTACCAGCACAGAATTGGTTTGTAACTGGAGCTTCAGTTACAGATTGGGCTCCTTCCTTCAGCCAGCATCTCCCTGCGCAGTTCCCTGCCAGGCTCCTAGGGGGCCCAGATTAATGATACTTGGTTAGGTAGAGGGAGCAGGGTATGCAGGGCCAGGTTATTGGAATGGGTTTGTAATTATTTGAGGAAGGCAGAACATGTAGGTGAATGTAAATTAGCATTTGCAGCAAAGTTATGTGTAAATAAGTGCTAATTGAGGATATCAGTGCAGAAGAGGCTAGGGGACGAGAATAACCAGGGTGTATTTCTCAGAATCACTGAGATAGATTTTGAAGAAAAGTCTGAAAATGAGAGGGGATTAAAATTTGGCATATATTCTGTATGAGGGTAGGAAGTGGGAAGAAGTAAAGGAAGTTCTGAGTTTAGGATCCACAGAAGTGAAAGGTGGTGAAGTTGTTAGTCACAGGGAAAAGAGAAGCTGCTCTCAGTGGGCCATCCTTGGAAGCAAAGCTCTAACACATAAATTACCTTTGGTAGCTACCATGGAATCAGTCTTGGTCTCTTTTCTCCTGTAGGCATTGGGAGCAAGGAAAAGGAGTCAAAACCCCAGCAGGAAGACCTTAAAGGGGCATTTGCTGGGCTGTCAACTGAGAGGTTTGGGGAAGCTGCTGTCCCTGGACCTGAGCTGGGAGGAACCTGTGAACAGGAGCCTGGGGAATCCGGAAGCGGCCTGCCAGGACTTCCTGCTCCGCAGCACAGTGTCCCCTTGCCTGAGGATCTCAAAACCCAGAGTTCCTTCTGGAAGCCTTTCCAGTGCCCCGAGTGTGGGAAAGGCTTCAGTCGGAGCTCCAATCTCGTCAGACACCAGCGAACCCATGAAGAGGAGAAGTCCTATGGCTGCGTGGAGTGTGGGAAGGGCTTCACCTTGAGGGAGTACCTCATGAAGCACCAGAGGACCCATCTGGGAAAGAGGCCCTACGTGTGCAATGAGTGCTGGAAGACCTTCAGCCAGAGACACCACCTGGAGGTCCACCAGCGGAGCCACACAGGGGAGAAGCCCTACAAGTGCGGGGACTGTTGGAAGAGCTTCAGCCGGAGGCAGCACCTGCAGGTGCACCGGAGGACGCACACCGGTGAGAAGCCCTACACCTGCGAGTGCGGCAAGAGTTTCAGCAGGAATGCCAACCTAGCTGTGCACCGGCGAGCCCACACCGGGGAAAAGCCCTATGGGTGCCAGGTGTGCGGGAAGCGGTTCAGCAAAGGGGAGCGGCTGGTCCGACACCAGAGGATCCACACGGGAGAGAAGCCCTACCACTGCCCCTCCTGCGGTCGGAGCTTCAACCAGAGGTCCATCCTCAACCGGCACCAGAAGACCCAGCATCGCCTGGAGCCCCCGGTGCAGTGAGGGCACCACCTGAGGAATCCCTGCCCCAGGGTATTCTTCATCTTTTTGATGGGCTTGGAGGACAAACAGTGATGGCATGCAGGAAGGCTCTCGGGCCGTTTCCTTTCCACTGACTCAAACCCAGGCGGAGGACAAGTCTGGCTTATTGAGAGCTCCCAGAGGGCAAAGCCGCCCATGCCTCCTATCTAAGTGGTGCCTATGGTTTTTCTGGTAACCTTTAAGGGAAACAGTATTCTGAACTTTAGTTCAGGCTGGGATTTTTCCCCTCAGTTGGGTGTTTGGACACACCTCCAAGTCCAGTAGTAGGGGCAGAATTTTGTCAGTGGTTGGCAGCTTGAAGCTCATTATCCTGGGTCTCTATCCTGCCTGTGAGATCTAGCTCAGACTCACCTGACACTTTTCCATTTACAAATATTTATTAAACACCTACTATGCTCCTGGCACTGAGAATACCGTGGTGAATGACAGACACAGACGAGACCTTGTTATCACAGAGGATTCCAAAGTGCGTTGTGTTGCAAGGGCCATGTGAGGGCCTCTTGTCACGTTCTGCCAGCCTGCTTCCTGCTGGACCTCACCTCGGCCTCCACGCCGCTGGGATCTTCTCTCAGGCAGCCTCCTTTGTTTTGCTTCATTTGTAGCCTTTTTCTCTGACTGTAATATTCTTCCCTCATCTGTAAAGTTTTCCCATCCCAGCATATTCCTTGCACTATAACAACAGCTATTAGGAAATTAATATTTTGCTATTGATCATGAATAAACATAAACTGTATTTTTAAAAAATGTTGCATTCTGCCAAAAGATTAGATTAAATGAGTCTGAAAGGTGAACTAGTATTAATGCCCTATATCATGGCACTTTATCTGACATATAAAAATGCTTTTCTATATTTTTAAAAAAAAATTTTTTATTGTTTTAGTTTTAGGTGGACACAGTATCTTTATTTAATTTTATGTGGTGCTGAGGATTGAACTCAGTGCCTCATGTATGTTAAGTGAGTGCTCTACCACTGAGCCACAACCCCAGCCCTTTCTATATGTTCTTATCTGATTCATTTCATAAGTAATTAGGCCCTGCAATGTGCCTGGAACTCTTCTGGTACTTGAGATACATCAGTGAATGTGATAGGGGAAAATTTCTAACTCTGCAGATTGCGTGTTTTAGTGATGCACTTGATCTTCAGAATCTGTGGATACTTCCATGAGCCCTCTGGGCCTGGCAGGTGTTCTTGGTCCTGTTGGCGTACTTTCCTGAGTTGCAGTCACCACCTATCTCTTAATAGTCTCTGTCCTTTTCATCTGGACCCTTACTTCCCGAGATACTTGGGGTCCTGGACACCAATTAGAGATGATAAAGTGGTAGTGACCTATTTTTCATGAGTGCTGATTCAGGAAAACTGATGTTTGTAGGCATTTATAACATTTCTTTAAGAATTAGAAGCTGCAGTATTTTTAACTGTGTTTACATTTTCTTATATTATTTTGCCATCAAAAAGGGTTTTCTTGCTGTTTGAGATTCTGGGCCCGGCATAATGAGGATGAATTGCACTGCAGCAACATTGTTATGCTGTGCCTTGAACACTGGCTGCTAAGTTTTTCTTTTGTCAACTGTGTGTCATTATAATTGCAAGATGTCATTTGTTTGATGGTACCTTGTAATGTCATATTCTTTGAGATTTCTTTCCCCCATTCTGCACTGCAAATGAGATAAGTGGTAGTGATGAGCATTTGTATTACGCAGTCCACTTGGAAACATGTGCTTTTATCACCTATTTCCTGGCAGGCAGCCACAAGTTTATTTTTGACTTAGCAAATAACCCTTTTGGTCCTCCTGGCTTATCTGTGGGGACTGTGAAGTTGTGCTAAACTAGGGTGAAGTGTTATTGAGTCATCCACACAGGGCTGCTGCAGAGGTCCATATGGAAAACCAGTCTCCCAGCCCCCCAATTCTTAGACAAGTTTGGCAAGACAGCCAGTGCCCTGCCAGCCAAGCCCAGTTGGAGGCTTCCTGTCCTCAGGATTTGGGATAGACTCGCTTGAGTGTATTTTTTCCAAAAAATCTGTCTCTCAAAGCCAGGCAGGGACCATGGAGGCTGCTGTATTAGTGTCTGTATTTACTTGAATTAAGTTATTGATTGATTTTGATCATGCACTTAGCTGAACAGGCCTCTGGGTTTTCAGCCAGTTGGAATCTCTTGAGAGAAACTTCAGTAGGAGCTGAGCCTTGCCTTCCTGCTCATTTGTCCTCTTCCATGTCTGCTCTGAGGCCAAAGCATATGGACAATGTTTTCAAAAAGCTTCCATTAAAAGGGAGTTTTTCCCATGGAATTATAGTAGCCTTGTTTTTTATACCCATTGAAATGTCAAATATTTTGCTGTTTTCTATACATTTCTATTCTTCTGGAATTTTATTTCATACCTCTCTCTGTTTATTATCTACCTATCTGTAAATTTTCTGAAGTCTAGGACATGTGAAAGAAAGCTCAGGAGAAATCTTTCATTAGGAAGTTAATGGTCTTGTATCTTGGGGCACAGTTGAGGTTCACCTCTAATACAAAAAAGTGTTTTCTAAAATTTTGAACTGTTTAATATAAAAATCTATAACAGAATTGCCAACCCTCAGAATTTCCTTGATGGTTACCTTTTCTCTTTTCATGGGAACCATTTTATAATAGAAAATTTCAAACAGTGTAAATGAATCCTTGTGTAGTCATCATTTGACTTTTATTTTAAACTCATAGCCAATCTTGTTTTCTCTCTACCCACTGCTTCCTCCTTGTCTTCTTCCCTCACTGAAGTGTTTTAAAGCACATTCCAGATGTTTATAAATATTTTGGTGTGTGCCTCTGAAAAGTAAGAGCTCTTTAAAAAGATGAATAATTCTTTAGTGTCAAAATACCCAATGATTTTTTAAAACACTAAAATTTTAAAATTACAGTTTGTTGCTTTGTCTTCTAAATCTCATAACCATCTGTCCTTCATTTCCTTGAAATTTATCATTGAGAAAACTCTGTTATTTATACTATAGACTTTTTTAATGTTTTGAATTTTGTTTTGCATATCCCTGACATTATTTAACTATTTCTCTGCCCTCTGTATTAACTGAGAACTCAGAGGTCTAGAGGTATAGCCAGATTTGTCTTTCCCATTTTGGCAAGAACACATTACAATGGTGGCACATATGGCTATTTTTCTTTATATGATGTTAGGAGTCTAGATCATATATTTCATTAGTAATAATGATGAACAATTATAAAGTACTTAAAATTTATAAATAAATTATCATTTAATAGCTGGAATACTTCTGTAAGAAATTTCCCCTCATTTACCTGTTTTCACATTAATGAACTGATAGATTTGCTTCCTGTAAAGGTGATCCTTTTTTGTTGTTTTTGCAGAGCTGGGGATGGAAACCAGGGCCTCATTCCTAGGCAAGCACTCCACCACTAGTGTTGGTGAGGAGGTGGAGAGTTGGCACTCTCCCATTTACTAAAATGGTACAGGCGATATAGAAAACAAATTTGGTGCTTCCTCAAAAAGTTAGACATAAGTAACCATATGACCTAGCAATTCCACTCCTAGTAATATACCTGCGAGAATTGAAAATCAAACAGATTCATGTACCCACATATTCATAGCAGTGCAATTTACAATAGCCAAAAGATGGAAGCAACCCAAATGTCCATCAGCAGATGAATGTACAGACAAATTGTGGCTTGTGGCACATGATGGAACATGATTCAGTCAAAGATTGAAATGAAGAACTGACACCTGCCACAACATGGATGAACCTTAAAAATATGCTAAGTTAAAGAAGCTAGTCATGGCCTGGGAATATAGACTATAGTGCAGTTGGTAGAGTGCTTGCCTTGCATGCACAAGACCCTAGGTTCAATTCCCAGCATCGCCTTCTCTTCCCCCCAAAAATGCCAGTCATGAAAAAATCCACATAGGGAAGTGTCTAGAATGGATAAACCCACAGAGGGAGACACTTAGTGGTTGTTATCAGTGCATGGAAGAGGGAAGAGTGAGGAGGAACAGCTTAATGGGTATAAGATTTTATGTTGGGGTGATGGGTATGTTTTGAAACCAGGCAGAAGGGGTGGTTGTATAACACTCTTTGATCATATATTTCATTAGTAATAATGATTGAGTATAATACATGCCACTGACTTATTCATATTAAAATGATTCATTTTATATTATATGAATTTTACCTTTGTACATTAAAAAATCTCAGAAATATTAACATTATAAGACATGTTGCTATGGTGCTTATCCAAACCAGTGATGTATACAGGGTCCCTGCCCAGCCTCCAGCCTCCTACTTACTGATTTGAGGTCAAGTTTTCATTCCAGACATACAAAATCTATAGCCTGATTTGTAACCCGATTGCTTCCTTATTAGTCGTAATTAAAATTCAGGCCCTGTACCTTGCAACCAAGAATTGGTGCACATGCTCAATAATTCTTATGGTTTGATTGTGTTTTCCAAAGTTCATATATTGGACTCCTAATCCCCAAAGCAGCAGAGTGGAGACATGGAACCTTTAAGAAGAGTTTAGGCCATGAATGGATTAATGTATTTTGGCAGGAATGGACCAGTTATGGGATTGGTTCCTGATGAATGGATGAGTTTGGATACCTTCCTTCTTATGCATGTTTTCTTGTTCTTGTACTTTCTTCATGGAGTAGCAAGAGGACCCAACCCAGATTTGGGTCTCTAGACCTTGGACTTCCCAGGCAGTAAAAATAAATTTGTGTTCTTTTTATTTCCAGTCACAAGTATTCCAAGATAGCAGCACAAAACGAAGACAAGAGTGATTGCTTAGGTATCCAATCGGAAAATGGCATCTTGCACAGGAGGTCAGGGTTGGGCTGATCTTGGCTGGGAAGAGCCCCAGGAAAAAAATTGCTCAGGTTGGCAGGCACCATGGTGATATATCTTCTTGGGGACTCTGTAAACTGCATGCAAAAGTCTCAGGTTCTTTTTTTCTGGAGTGATGGTAATTATGAAAGAAGCCCTTGTCCCCAGATCTAGCTAACAGTCTGAATTACAGCTTATGAACTGAGTCACTCCTGAGTGAACGAACCTAAGGGCATTCTCTTCCTTCAGCCCTTGTTACCTTTGATATCAGGTTTGTTTAGGCAGTCCGAGGAAGTAGAAAAATATTTCTTTTTTTTTCCTAGAAATTTTCAAATTTTGCCCTCTGAATCACCATGGGCATCGCAACCTGGATTTGAGGAATGATGTTTGTGTCATGTAAAACAAAAAGCAAGGTAATTTAATTGATGATGTTTTGCTTTTAGAAAGGTTATATGTGCAGGGATAAAACATTCAAATGGTATAAGAGGATAATGCTTTATACTATTAAAAATTATGTTTTTCTGGGGGTGGTGGCACATGTCTGTAATTCCAGGAGCTCAGAAGCTGAGACAGGAGGATCACAAGTTCAAGGCCAGGGGCTGGGGATGTGGCTCAAGCGGTAGCATGCTCGCCTGGCATATGTGCGGCCCGGGTTCGATCCTCAGCACCACATACCAACAAAGATGTTGTGTAGGCTGAAAACTAAAAAATAAATATTAAAATTCTCTCTCTAAAAAAATAAAAAAACCAAAACAAGTTCAAGGCCAGTCTCAGCAACTTAGGGAGGCTTTAAACAGTTCAGAGTGAAACTGTCTCAAATTAAAAAAAGGATTGGGGATGTGGCTCAGTGGTCAGGTGCCCCTGGTTCAATCTCCAGTATAAAAAAAAAAAAGAAAAGATTAAGTTTTTGATAGATAATGTTTATTAGATTGGGGAATTCTATTGGTTTGAGTTTGTATACTATAAATGGTTGTTGAATATTATCAAGTTTTATTTCCCCTGAAACTATTGGGAATGTATTGACTATTAATTTTTAACTGATGTCTATGTTTTTAATTGGTTAACTGCCTTTGAGTCAATAAACCCAACTTTGGCCAGAGTCCTTGATGGGGCACAAATGCATTCTAAATGGAGGAACCTGCATGGGTGAAGATCTTCAGATGTACCTTGTTTGAATGGATTTCATTATTTCAGAATAAGGATCACCATGGAGACAAGAATAGGTAGAGGAAATTTAAGGCCAGTGACTTAGTGAGTTCCTGAAAAGAATAAATGGCCTTTGGACTTAGTGATGATGCTGATTGAGTTGTTTATTTCCCACAGATGATGCACACAAAGGAGGTCCAAGTAGGAGTGTTCACAATTCTTTGCCACATTTTTAGGTGAAGAGGGCACCTGATTTTTCCAACTCCAGGTGATGCACAGGCAGCCCTTCTACTGGCTATGGTCCTGGTCACACTTTCTTTCTAGCATATAAACACATGAGGTTCGTCACACTGAATCACAGCTTGGCCCAGGATGGAAGGCACAGTCCCACTAAGGGCAGCACATGCTCAGCTGAAGGAAAAACTCAGGACAGAACCACTGAAGGCGTTGCTGAAAGCTTGATCCTTTTCTGATGTTGAAGACAAGGTTTTGAGAAAAAGTTTTATTGCTTTGCTAGCAAAGGAGAAACACAGGGGACTCCTGTCCCAGAGTCTGATTCTCCCCATCAGGGGAAACAGAGGGTTTTTAAAGAGATGATTCAAAGGCTATATTCCAGGTATGCCCTGGGAGGTTGTAATTCACCTGTTAATTTTGAGCTAGCTATTTCTTAGATCTTCTGGCCTACCCCTGGAGACTGAATTACTTCATTTTTTGGGGGAGGGGGTTAACTAAAGAAAAAAAACCCAAGAACAGAAAAAAGGGAAGCCTGGTTCCCCCAAAAATAAGGAAGGGGAAAAGGAAAAAAAAAAAAAAAAATGTTTGTTTTAAAAAAAGTAACAGTGGCAGAGCAGCAAGGCCTATATTCAAAGCATGAAGTGGACCACTGTTAAAAAGGAAAGCACCACAGACCTGATTCAGAACTTGACCCCAGAAACCTGGGTCCTCCTGGCTATCAGCCCAGTGCTTCTCTGGGAGTATCTCTCTAGGATCCTCCTCTGTAACCTTGGAATGGGATGTTAATCAGGCCCCTCCTCACTTCATCAGTTCTGAAGGTCAAAAGAGAATTGAGGGAAAGTTGCTACAAACACAGAAGTTCCTATTGATCTCATGCAAATTCCTTGAGCTTCTCCCAACCGTCTCCCTACTCCTGTGACTAAGAGGGTTACTGACAAGATTTGTTCTTAGGAATGATCTGATTGGCTCTCAGATACACCTGGAGTAATGTAACAGAATTCAGCAGAAGCATATTATAAATTACTGATCACCCTGTGTAACCAGGAACCTCACCCCCTCCCCAAACTTTGGGAATTCTGGTGGCAG